GAATGATAATACTGATGGGTATAAAACTTATAGCAACCCCAAAAGAAGATAGAAACGTTGAATCCTGAAAAAAAAAACAGTGATACACCATGATACACCATTTTCGTCTATCTTTTCAGGGTTGTAAAGAAATTCCCAATCAATGCCTCTGGTGAAACAGCCCCTTGACCTTGGACCCCTTGGACCCCTTGGACCCCTTGGACCGTGGAACGAAGGGGTCTTCCCCAAGCTCGCTGGTTGTTTTATTTCATGAAAAATCCTAAAATGGATGATTTAGGGGTATCCGAATCCCAATGTTAGGAACCCCCATACATAATAATATATATATATTAAAATGATATATTATTATTACTATTATTATTATTATTACTATTATTATTATATATTATATATAATAATTAATAATATATATCTAATATCATATATCTATAATTATATATAAATGTGTTTTTTTTTCTGGTATTCTATTGGGCATCAATATTGGGCCAATTTCCTGATGCATATTCCTTATTGGGAACATCTGTGCGCAGCTCACCATTGCTCTGACCAATTCTGCATTGAAATCATCTCGCAGGATCCTCTCCGGTGGTTTGCCCAGATTCCGGTGGCACACTTCGTTTAGCTTTTGGTGGGCATCCATCCAACGCCAAAAGCACCAAAAACTACAGTGTATCTCTAGAATCCATCCAGGTTAATTACATCGTTTTTCTTTGGAGATATATATAGTATATCTGGTTGGTGGTTGAGCCCTACCCCTCTGAAAAATCATGGAGTTCGTCAGTTGGGATGATGACATTCCCAACTGAATGGAAAGTCATAAAAGCCATGTTCTAAACCACCAACCAGTATATGCTCATATATATTGTCCATAAAGTCTGGTGAAATGTCTGGCCCAACAATCACAAAACCCAAGAATGAGAGCCAGTTTCTGGGGTGACAGCCAGCTAGCCGCTGAGCTCGCCAAACACCGTTGGGTATCATCATCCCATAATGGTTCGGTCAAAGAATTGGACACATATCGATTAAAAAGACTCGGCAATCACTTCAATTAGTTGTACAGTACCCCTTCATATACCCATCATATCCCAGGAATATTCCACAGTTCTCTAGATTTTTGGTCATGCACCAGCAACCTTCCAGTTATAAAGTGTACATATTCACATACCCATAATGATGTTCCACGGTTCTTGGTTTTTGTATGGTTTATCTACCCTCTGGTAATCAAACGTGGCTAGCTGGGCAATCCCTGAACCAAATAGATGCCTATCATAGCTGGAAAAATAATTAATCGAACTTTTTATGGTGGATTTGCCAGCTAGCCACGTTTGATGACTGGAGGGTATTTGGGAAATGTTTTAATCATACAACATTCTTTATTAAGATTATGTTTTCCATATTTCCCTATTAAAACCTCCGTTGAAAACTCATGGATTTCCCAGCTTGCCAGCGCGCCTTCCATCCTTCACCAGGTCCTTCACCAAGGCTTTGGTCCTCTCGTCCTGTTGTCGCCACCAACGGACGAAGAAGGCCTGACGATTGTGGCGATGAGCCATGGATGAAGTGAATGGTTAACATTGGTTGATATATTGTTAATATTGGTTCATAAGGCAATAACTTCATAACTTATAAACATGGTTAGCAAGGTCTTAACTTAAAACTGAGGTATAAAATGGTATAAATATGTTTGTGTGGTGAAAAGAACTTGTGAACCACATCGAAAACGGGGTTTTCAAAGCATTGAAAAACCACTTAGAATTCTTTATTCAACTCCATTTCGGTTCCAAATGCCCATATCCCTTCTGTGAACTATCAGGTGGTTGGAAAAACTAGTGGAAACTCAAGTCGTAGCTCCAACTGAAACCCCATAAAGAATAGATAAATCAATGGATTGGCGGGAAAATCTTCACCGGAAACCATGGTTTTTACCATCAAATATAGAGGTTTCCGGTGAAAATTGTCCCATCATCCAGCTTTATGGGGATTCCCTTAGCTCCAATAGCACCTGCTCCACATAGGTGAAGGTGCGACTCTTGTCCGCCGCCAGTGCGCGCACCACGGTGTCCAAAATCATGTGTACATAGGCATGCCTAGGCCCCCCATCCGACTTGTTTTGGAGAATTTAACTAACAAAGTTATGGGGATTCCACCAATGTGGATATAACCAAAAATATGGGATTCCCTAAAATTATGTGGATAACAAACTAATAATGGGATAAAAATGGGGATATAACATGATATAAGCAACCAAAAATCTGCATGTGGGCATTTATCGGATCTCCTGGGATTGAAGTGGAAATTAAGCAGCTCTTGAAGGGGGTTTTCATCGTCATCGATGACTACAAGCATTTAGGCTTCCAATGAGGATATGATGGGGATATGGACACATGATGGGGGGTGTGAGACCGCGATGATGGGGATATAGAATGAGAATAATTCATTGAATAGACATAAACAATACATAAGCAACAAACATATGAAGTTGTTTGCCCTCGAAGTTATGGAGATTTGATCAATGAACAATGAACACATCGGATGTTAAGAGGTCCAGGTATAACTAATTTGACCAATATATCATGGGGATACGATGGGGATCTCATTTCATGTTTTTGGTGTGTTGTAAAAGGTTGGTAAACAAACACAATATCCCATCATTGATGGCAGACTACTGGCTGTTGATTTTCTTCGCATCAAACCATGCCCCCATCCACCTTTGCAACGTCAACCTGGTAACTGGATGTAACTGGTACGATGATCTAAACATACTTGGATTTGCTTAAGGAACCCTCACAAAAAAGAACAACAAAAACTATAGATTCCACAAGTAGTGGATTTTCCATTTGGAAAACAGAAAAATCATCTTCAGCGATCTATATGCCTGATGCGTTTTTTTTGCACTGTTTGTTGCGGCAAATATTATCCAGCAATACAAACCCACAGCGCTGACGTAGCCGGGCCCACTGGCTACCAGGAAAACCGTGTTTCACAATACATGAAAATGGCGCGAAAGAAAAACTGAAAAAAACAAACAAACTTACCAACACACAAACACACAGACACACACAACAAGCAAGCAAACAAACAAACAAACAAACAAACAAACAAAAAACAAAGAAACAAAGAAACACGGACAGGCGGATAGCGAACCAATCAACCGACCAAACATGACCAAACAACAGACAAGCAATCAAACAAAAACAAAAAACAACGAACCAGAAAAACAACCAACCAATAGTTTGTTAGACGGACAATGTCTTAGTTCTTACACACAAGACTTCACTATCCACAACAAGGGTTTCAACCCTGAAGGATCAAGCAACCATCCAACCCAATCAAATCAGCTGAGCATCTGGATGGAATTGTTCTGGCCGGTGTAGTACTCATCCACCGTCTTCAGCCACCCCACGTCGTCATGTGTGTGACAAACGATGTGGACCTGGGAACCGTGCGAAGATCGAACCGCTTGCGAAATGGAACAAAAATATCATTACTGTATTTATGTATTTATTTGTTTATCTATGTATTTCTCTCTCTCTCCATATATATATATATGTTTATCTATCTGTATATATATATATATATGTGTGTGTGTATAATATATATATATATATTATAATGTAAATATGTATGTGTATATATATATATACGGTAACTACATCTATATAAACATACAAGGTTTTGAATATACGAACTCGTACTTTAGACTACCTCCGGGAAGGGTTTCCTTGGCCCGCCTGGCCATTTAAACATACGGAACCCAATTTATTTGAATATACATTTAAAAATACGGATGGAACTGGTGCTTCATACTACCAGTATCTCCGAGACCTTGTGGTCTGGCCCGCCCTCCACATTTAAATGTCGTTACCGTATGTTTTTTTTTAATGTATATATATAATATATAAGGAGCATGTTCCATGGGCACCTCAGATTCCAATAGGCTGATCGTTGATTTTGTTAGTGGAAATCAAGAGATCCGATACTTTGAACCAGCGCTTTTGGTGGGTGTGCATTTTGTTAGTGGGAAAGGGTTGTTGGTTTTTTACTGTAAACAACATCATCTATGAAGATAAACAAAAAACAAACAAATACACAAATAAATATCGCAGTGAATTTTACTTTACTTCGAGTGATCCTCGCCATGGCCTTTCGAGGCAAATATTCTGACAGACATACATATAATTTGACATATATTCTGACATTCTACCTTTCTACCCGACATCTACTCTGACATTCTATCTGGCATTCTATATGGCATATATATTCTGGCATTCTACCTGGCGTTCTATCTGGCATCTATTCTGGCATTCTATCTGGCATCTATTCTGCATTCTATCTGGCATTCTATCTGACATCTATTCTGACATTCTATCTGACATTCTACCTGGCATCTATTTTGACATACAGTCTGGCAAATCTTCTGGCTTTTTTTCTGGCATTCTATCTGGTATATCTTCGGAGGTTTTTTGTGGTTGAGGTCCGGCGGGGATCACTCTGATCCAAAGGTTGCTGTTCGGGTCGCGCAGGGAACACTGCGATCAAGCGCTTGCAGTTGAGGTCCGGCGGGGATCACTCTGATCCTGAGCTTGCTGTTCGGGTCCCGCGGGGAACACTGCGATCTAGCGCTTGCAGTTGAGGTCCGGCGGAGGAAGGAGGAGGCGGCGGCGGGACAGCTGATATAAAATCTAACAACCCTCACCTGACAGGTGGGGAACACATCCAACACGGAAGCGTTCGTTTCTTGATTCTCAATTAGGGCCAGCGAGATTTCTTATCAGCCATCTGGCATCAGCCACTCAACCAGGACCATCCGGATTTATGGTGAGCGCTGCAACAGAAGCTGTAGCTGACTCTAGCTGTTGAATCGAAGAAACGCTCAATTATAGCAGATTAAGTCATTGGTTTGCCCATCCAATCAATTTCCCCAAATGTAAATATATATATACACATATATATATATATATTTATTTAAAAAAAAAATGTTCCATGAATGTCCATGTTTTATGGCTTTACACATGTTTAAACACACGTGATCTCATGATTGTCCTTGTTGAACTCCCTCCAAGGTTTCCCCAATCCCCGCCTGCACTTGCTCCGCAGCAACGTGGCAGAGCAGGGCGGCTGCCAGCCATGTCCTGGCGGTCATGGCGGTCATGCATTTGATGGGCATTTTGACCAACACAGTTGCGGGGGTATAAACCAACAATACTGGGGATATCACAGGGTATAACCACCAATCTGAGGGTTGGGTGTATCTGATAAGATTGGGAAACGTGTAAAAAATCAGGGATTCATCATCATTCTTCCCTGCGAACCCAGTGTAACCCTGAATATGGGTCCCTTGTAGATTCAACTAGCTGAAATTGCTACCCTCTGGTGATTACACAGTTTGCTATGGAAAATATATCAAAATATGGTCCATAAAAATAGATCATAAAAATGATGCTTTACCTCTTAAAAATGGTGATTTTCCACTTCGCTACCTTAAATTGCCAGAGGCTGACCAACGAGGATCTGACCAACAAACAGCCTCCAATGTCCTCGTGGCTAATCCCGAACTTCATGCACAAAAGGCAAACATCATCTGGAAATGTTTGAAATGGAGGATATATTCAAAGGCAATGGCAAACATCCTCAACTTAATCGAATCTAGAAATGGAAACTATTTCAGCACGCTATTTTTGACTACCAGAGGAAAACTTGGAATGATGAGGATCAAACCTTAAAGTTCAGCGCAGGATCCCAAGAAAAAACTAGGGTATGACTTGGTATGACCAACTTCACCCAATTCCAAAACGGCTCCTCACAAAATTCGCGATTCTCGAGGTCTATATTAGTTGAGTGATATACAACAAGAATAACATTCTACAAATCCATTTTTTGTTGGCTCTCTGGGACAATGTGTGGCGCGATCAGAAATGGCAATCACTAGGGTAAATAGTCCATTTTCGAGGGAAATTTTATACATCCAAATCACCCAGTCAGCATCACAGCAAACATGGCAATGGAAAGCCCACCAACCCAATTCCAAGTTTCCCCATTGCGTTTGTTCAAGATTTTTACGCCCCCTTTACTTCGGGTGATCCCCACCATGACATTATTTTGTCATAGTTTCGGACATCTAATCTGGAAGTATATGGCACAAATTTATGATATTCTCTTCTGGCATTCTATCTGGCATCTATTCTGACATCCTATCTGGCATCCTTTCTGGCATCTATTCTGACATTTTCTCTTGCATTCTATCTGGCATTCATTTTGGTATGCTATTTGGCATCATTTCTGACATTCTTTCTGGCATTCTGTCTGGCATTCAGTTTTAGCAACAAAGCAACCTGGTATATGCCATATCTTAAGACATTCTTTCTGGCATTCTACCTGGTATATCTTCGGATATTCTTTGTGGTTGAGGTCAGGCGGGGATCACTCTGATCCAGAGGTTTTTTCTTCGGGTCCGGCGCTGCGATCTAGAGCTTGCAGTTGAGGTCCGGCGGAGGAAGGAGGAGGGAAATTATCTTTGGGAAAATTATGACGACTAATTCTATCCACTCGAGATATATCCATTGAGGTGGTTTCCCACACTTTTCAGACAAAGCCATTTACATCTTCCAACTGCAGGCATTTTTGCACCTCATGGTGCCCACTCAGAAAAGGAAAAGCTCAAGCACGGCACACAGCTGCTGAGCCATGAAAGTTGGCGACGGTGCCACGGTCCAAGGCTGGTTCCGGACTTCGGGGGCATTCATGGGGTCAAAACCTATGGTTTCCCGAGGAGGATGATCTGCAAATGGTGGGTTTTCCACAGTCTTAGACTACAGGAAGGTAATGACCGGTGTCCAATATTCAATGGATTGGCTGATTCGACTTGTTTCAGCTTCCAACACGTATTGCAGCCATGCACCCAAGTTGTGTTTCAGCAATTTCTATATCTGACATCCAGCCCTCCCGTCAGCTTCCAGCTCCGTGGCACCTCTTGGTGGAAAGCCAAAAAACGATTCATAAAGCGCTGATTGAAATCTGCAGGAAGCTGAGCAACCGGGGTCTTCAGTTGGATCTCCGAAGTTGCGAGGTGAAGTGAGGGCCTGGTATGTTTTAAGGACTGAATGATCAAATGTGAAGAGGAAAACCGATTCCTGAGCTCAGACAACATCCAAGTTTCGATATCACAATGGTTTTGCCATGCTTTGCCAACATGTAACGAACAATTCATGAATGTACTAACGTAGCCTAGATACACCACACATGGATGGCATTGGCATCAGTTGCTTTTCGATCTATATGTGTTTCTATATGTTTCTTTGCTGTTGTTGCAGATGCATTCTCAAGTTTAGATCACCCAAGTTATATACGTACATCACCTCATAATTCAATTCCCGCCAAAAAAAATACGGGTAAAGATCCCCCATACTTCATCACATGTATGATTTCATGTATCACCATGTTTGGCGTTGGCGTTGTCTCAAAATGCGTAGATCACCAGATCACCCGGCAATGTCCAGTTTGGCCTTCAACAAAGACCTGGGTCCACTGGCATCGTGGCCCGGATAAGCCCGGCATAGGTTTGGATAAGGCAACATGGGACGAACCTACAGGTAACCAATGGATAGATAGATAGATAGATAGATAGATGGATAGATAGATGGATAGATGGATGGATAGATAGATAGATGGATAGATGGATGGATAGATAGATGGATAGATGGATGGATAGATAGATAGATGGATAGATGGATGGATAGATGGATGGATAGATGGATAGATGGATGGATAGATAGATGGATAGATAGATAGATGGATAGATGGATGGATAGATGGATAGATGGATAGATAGATAGATAGATAGATGGATAGATAGATGGATAGATGGATAGATGGATGGATAGATAGATAGATAGATAGGTAGATAGATGGATAGATAGATAGATGGATGGATAGATAGATGGATGGATAGATGGATAGATGGATAGATGGATAGATGGATAGATAGATAGATAGATTAGGTAGATAGATAGATACATACATACATAGATAGATAGATAGATGGATCGATCAATCGATAGATAGATAGATAGATAGGTAGATAGATAGATAGATAGATCGATAGATAGATAGATACATACATAGATAGATAGATAGATAATGTAGGTTGATCGATAGATAGATAGATAGATAGATAATAAGATAGATAAGATTAGATAGATAGATGGATAGGACAGGACAGGACAGGACAGGATAGGGTAGGGTAGGTAGATAGATAGATAAGATGAACAGGAAGGATAGATAGATACATCGATCGATCGATAGAAAGATAGATAGATAGGATAGATAAAATAGCTAGGATAGATAAGATAGATAGGATAGATAGGATAGAAAGGATAGATAGGATAGAAAAAAGATAGATAGGATAGTAGGATAGAGAAGATAGATAGGATAGAAAAGATAGATAGGATAAATAAGGTAGATAGGATAGATAGGATAGATAGGATAGATAGGACAGATAGGATAGATAGGACAGATAGGATAGATAGGATAGATAGGATAGAGAAGATAGATAGGATAGATAGGATAGATCGGATAGATAGGATAGGTAGGATAGATAGGATAGATAGGATAGATAGGATAGATAGGATAGATAGGATAGATAGGATAGATAGGTTAGATAGGATAGATAGGATAGATAGGATAGATAGGATAGATAGGATAGATAGGATAGATAGGATAGATAGGATAGATAGGATAGATAGGATAGATAGGATAGATAGGATAGATATGATAGATAGGATAGGTAGGATAGATAGGATTGATAGGATAGATAAGAAAGAAAGATAGATAGATGGATAGATAGATGGATAGATGGATAGATAGATGGAAAGAGGGACAGATGGATAGATGGATAGATGGATAGATAGATAAGAATAGATAAGAATAGATAAGAATAGATAAGAATAGATAAGAAGAGACACGAATAAGGATAGATAAGAATAGATAAGAATAGAAAAGAAAAGGTAAGAATAGATAAGAATAGATGGATGGATAGATGGATAGATAAATAGACAGATAGATCGATAGATTGATAGATGGATAGATTGCATAGATTGGACAGATAGATCGATAGATAGGATAGATAGGATAGATAGGATAGATAGGATAGATAGGATAGATAGGATAGATAGGATAGATAGGATAGATAGGATAGATAGGATAGATAGGATAGATAGGATAGATAGGATGGAGAGGATAGAGAGGAGAGAGAGGATAGAGAGGATAGATAGGATAGATAGGATAGGATAGGATAGATAAGATAAGATAAGCTAAGATAAGATAAGATAAGAAAAATAAGATAAGATAAGATAGATATGATAGATAAGATAGATAAGATAGATAAGATAAGAAAAATAAGATCAGATAAGATAAGATAGATATGATAGATAAGATAGATAAGATAGATAAGATAGATAAGATAGATAAGGTAGATAAGATAGATAAGATAGATAGGATAGATAGGATAGATAAGATAGATAATTAAGATAGATCGATAGATCGATGGATTCCCACCTTGCGCCGCATCCAGGGCAGAACCTCCCAGCACTCGGCTGCGCGCCTGACAGCTGGAAATTTTGGGATTATGTTTTTTCCTTAACAATTGTGACAATACTGACGTTCAATATTCATAGTACCGATTATATATTTATATACCCATTATGATGCTGAATAGACTGAATAGAGAATAGTTCAATTCAGTATTTGTTTGTATAAGGATTATGATGACCCATTATGACCAGTTATGATGGCTATCATTCCAACAATCAATTGTGGTTCATAACTGAATCATATCGCATGTCATTTTACGATAGAAAATGAGACGTTGTTCCATGATTTGATATGATCCCATTATTTCGATTCCATAAACCACAATTTGGGAATTTGGAAGATCAACAGCATCATTGTGTACTACCCTCTGGTAAACTAACAGTTTGCTATTGAAAATGGACATAGAAATAGTTGATTATCCCAGCTATAAAATGGTGATTTTCCATAGTTATGTAAACGTTTACCAGAGGGTAGGTGATCACTAAGTGAAATGACCACTATGTTGTTAATATCCCTGGTAATCCTAAAGCCTAAGTCCTCCAACTTGGCTTATCCAGTTATCCACATCTCGCAGCTCGGTCCTTCACTGGAACCGTTGCAATGTTTTGCACCGGATTATGATGCATCAAGCCCCAGTTTTTGCGTGTTGATCTCTAATTTTGGGATATGTTTGGGTGGTAAAATGCAAATTTGTAGGTCTGGGTTGGGTTGGTTGTGGATTGCTGGTGATTTCAACAGCCTTGAAAAATGTTTTGCTCAGTTCGAATCCTCCCAAATGGGGTTGAAACCACCAACTGGTATTGGTTTAATTGGAAAATTTACAGGAAACCATGGAAAGCAGCCAAATAGCCAAAGATTGGCAGAGTTAAGCCACAAAACATGTATTTCTATGGGTTGAAAGGAAAGGAATCCAATACAATAATCTACTTGTAACGGCATTCAGCCATAAATAACATACGGATCAAACCAACAAATATAAACAATTATGGGCAGATTTAGGATACGGATCTATCCGAAAATGATGGACATCTATTGGGATTTAATCTGATTTAGCAAACAACAATTGAAGTTCTATGGGAGTTGGGAGTTGTTGGAGCAATTTCACAGATTTAGATTTCACCATTGGAAACACGGATTAACAATGAATAACGTCAAGTTGGAGGTATAAACCCCCATTTGACGAGGATACAGTATTTCATGGGGATATTTTTTGAATTTAAGCAATAATCTGATGTATGGATTTGGTATATGGGTCCGTGATTTACGACCAATTTGTAGCAAATGTGATAGGACACATGAGGAATGTTCAAGACACTTTGTCATTTCCTGGTTAAGAGAGGCATTCCCAGTTCATGGATTATGATAATCCCCGATATATCGGGTAATATAGCCGACCACAATCATCAATCAAAACGGGGTTTTAAATGGTTCAAACACTGCGATGATGATCCCGCTTGCCCCTTGGACAAATCCTTACCACTGAAAACTCTGTGAATTCCACCGCAGCGGAAAGCGTTCAGCGCAGCATTTTCTTCGTGGTGGGACTTTCAGTGCGTTTTGGTCAAGTTCTCAAAGGTTGAATTGAACTTTAAGTGCTGAGCCGGCTCAAAATTCGCCCTGCGTTCGATCGACTGCCTGGATATGGGATGAGATAAAAATATATAAAAATCGGATATCAAACTTCAATGCTTGAAGGCCCTGCACACCCAAAAATTGTCGCCTTCTTTTTTTTGAAATTCTCGAATTCGCCAAAAGTATGGACACTCCGAGTAGAATCTCCGAAGCTTAACATAGCTTAACATATAAGACTGCGTTAGGGATTCGACAGATTTCGCCAACGCATTTTTGCACAGCAAATTTTGAGTCAGCTTCCTGCGTCAGCGTACTCCCAGGCCCTTCTTTGATGCCCAGTGCGTTCGGCCTTTGTTGCCCTTGCGGCTGACCTGACGGGGACCTCTATACGAGGGGGTCTTGCTATTATGATAAAAAGAATTGACGGAACGTACGGATCTCGGATGTGTGTATGTATTACATTGACATATATATATATATATATATGTTACATATATTGTGACCCAGATAGATA